AGGTTGACGCAGCACCACAACCTCAACCGATACACAATTGTCAAACAGTCGTAATCCTGGCTGACGAGGTCTCCCTAAAATCCTCAACTGCCAGCATCTAATCACAACATAAAGTGGCTCATTCGGGAGTGAGAGCCTCATAAGATCTCCCACACTTCACCTCCAAAAATAAAAAAAAGTCCTTGAGGTTAAGGACGATGACCAAAAGATCCCTCTAAAATGTTAAAAAGCCCCATGAAGGAAAGAAACTGACGAAGCCAGGGCTTAACCTGCCAGAGACTTCAGGGTAGTGTCTCGCCATGAGACTGCCTCACCAAAATTCCCTCTAGCCTACAGACCCAAACTTTCAGGATAGGTCAGAAGCCCCCGATCGAACCCCGCTAGACGGGACCTACAAAGATACCCTGATCATCAAAAGCAAACTAGGTGTAGCAGCAAACAATGTCAACCAAAGGTTCATAGCAATGGACCTTCAAATAGGTCTGATTCTAACCAATGAGGTCCCTACAAAATCCTCAAGCTGTCAGAATCATGAATAGTCCCTCGAGGGTGAGGACTTCGACAGGATCCCTCAAACGTTTCTTCTCCGCCTAAAGTCTCCACAGATTGACATCTACATTGCATCAAAAAATCCGAGCATCATTTTTGAATGTTGTCCCTCTCGTTTCTCTCGAAGACTGTTTGAAGACATTTTTCAGCACCTTGGTCTCCCGGTCAATAAAGCTTGACAAAACAGTGGAAATTTCGAAAGTCTCAGAATAGCCCCAGAACTGACCAAGATCTTCATAAGGACTCTCAAAATTCTCTTGTCAAGTTTCGTCGTATTCTGACATGTCAAAGGTAGTGCAGTCTAAGAAATAATTCGGCAGAATCGGCCTCTAATACCTTGAAACCGACCCTATAACTAGAGCTATATTTTTGGTGTCTCAATTTGTTGTGGGACCACTGCCATTGGATTTGACACTTTGTAAACCTCCAAGGGTCTAATTTCAGCTTGAATGGACATCCCAGGACGACGTTATAGGTGACAGAGCCAAACAGGAGGAGCCACACGCGAATCTTGTGCCCTGCAATTCAACTCCATTAAAAGGGCAGTCACGACCAGTGAATTTCGACACTTATATCTCCATCATCCAAAATTGGATCGCACTCAACTTGATGGAGCATGTTCAACTCGTAGAAACGAGTGTTTGAATATGTGGCACGCCCCGCGAAGATGCCCGAGCGGGAAGAAAAGCTATAGAGAAGTTGTTGATTCGTGAAGAAAGTGCAGAAAAATCAGTAGCATCGTGCCTTGCTCAAGAAGCCAAATTGCGCCGCACGCAAGCTCGATCGGCGTGAAACTAATTCCATCGCGTGCATAAGGTCTAGGGCTATCTCTAGTCCAAACCCCGTACATGATGAACAACTGATTACAAACACAAAGTCGACGAAGTGACTGTAAATTTCGTCGCCGAAATTCCAGATTCCGACCAAAACTCCAAACTTGCAAAACCTTCATTCGGACACAGAATCGAGGTACATTTGTTGCCCCGTGAGCATGACGACATACTCAGAGTGATTCAGTGAAATCACAGAAAAACATCAAGAAACGAGCACACAATTGATCAAAAGTTTCAAAATTCATTCAAATTTCAAGTCACATGATCTAGCCCTAAAAACACGATCCATGGCTCGAAGTTGGTATCAAATCGATCGCCATGCCGAGCCCTACAAGAAACCAACCATCTTTCGATCAAACGGGCATCAGAACAACCCGGATCGTCCATGAAAAATCATGCACGTCCTAGGGCAACACAGGAACTGTCTTGGAATTCCACAACTTGTTAGAAAGGGGCAAATTTGTCATTTTGCACCCTATTTTCAAATTTCTTTTAATTCAGTTAAATCTTAATTTCCAGTAATTAGGTTTAATTTTGACCATCCACCTATATTTGGGCACACTTCTATATATACCACGTACCATTATTGTACGCAAAGGCTTGAACCCTTCACAAAAGAGAGAGTTTTTACTTAATAAAGTTTCTCCTTCTTCTCATTGTTGGGTCATGTTGGAGAGAGAGAATAAGGAGAGAGAAACTGTTGGACCAGTACCTTTAGGCTCAAGGCAAATTTTCTCTCTTCTTCTTCTTCTTCTTCATCTGAACCTCCCTCAAAGGCCTTACACGGCAGTGCCAGTGTCGTGCATGCCTCTTTCTTTCCTTTTTCTCCTTCCTATAATTCCATAGGTCGAGCATAGCGATGGCAACACCATGCGCGAGCTCCTTTTCCTCTTCTGTTTACGCGTCTCCATCTCTCGACGAGATTTGCAGACGGTGTTGCTCATCGTCGTCCGTAGGTGTGGCCTCGATGTCTCAGAGAGGAATGAGGGTAATGAAGCTTATTGCCGTCCGCGGGGGCTTCATCCTAATGCGTGACTATTGCAGACGGCGATGTCCATCGCCGTCCGCGAAGGGACGCGGCCATACTCATCTCTGTCTGCGAGCTTCTCTTTTGTGCCCGACACATATCGCCATGCGCAAGCTTCTTCCGTTCGCTCGGTGCCCATCACAGCACGCAGGCTCCTTCTGCGCCTCTCCACGTCTATTGTCGTGCGCAAGCTTCCCTTGTGCCCCATGCCTATCGCCGTGCGCTCCACGAGAGGTAATCATCACGTGACCTATGAGAAGTTATCGTCGTGCGCCTTGCCAGAAGCTATTGCCGTAGGCAAGAGACGTGTGGCCTTGTCACGTTGCCAATGGTGATGCTTCTTGCCATCCGCGGGTTTCTCTCATATCCCACGTCTAGCGTCGTGTGCCTCATTGAGAGTTATTACTGTGAGCGTCACTAGAAGCCATTGCCGCCCGCAAGGGACGAGGTGTCTTCTCATGACGCTAATGACGAGGCCCACTACCGTCTGGATTCTTCCCCCCTTTCGTTGTCTCGCTTTCTCTCTCTTTATTGCGTTTTCTTCTCTTCTTTCTTTTCTCTTCTCACTTGACTGAGGGTAGACTTCGCCTAACACTGCCATATCGGCCTCAGTTTCGAGTAGTATTGCCGTTGCGCTGGTCCCGAGGATCATGCCTGCCTTTCTACCACTCGGAGTCGATAACTTTCCAGCTGTCACGCTAGTCTCACCTTTTCATCAAATTCTCTTTTCTTTTCTATCTTTATTTGAACTTTGCACTTCATCACTCTAACTTCTCACATTCTTAGCCATGCGAATGTGCGTTGCTCTAAGACAAGGGTGGGCCTTTTGACCCACTTGTCTTGCAAGTTAACCATAATAGTGTTGCGCAGAAAACAAGGTAATCGCATGTCAAGGGAGGTGATTCCGAACCAACTAAAGCAGCTGGGGGGCTTTCTTTGTGATCTAAGAGGGCACCCACTCGAGCCAGCCCAAGTAAGTCTTGAACCTACCTTAAATTTCTCTCTCATCGGTTGGTATACCTGCCCTTGCTCTTGAGCAAGGTTTTTGAGAGTGCGATCTCAAATCCTGGGTTCGCTAGAAGTCCGAGATACATGCCACCAGATCATCTAGATCCGGAGGGCAAAATCGAGGCAATTAACCAAGTTAGAGAGAGGAAAACCCAATGAAAAAGTACAAAGCCTCCTATGTTTATGGAAATCTTTTCTTTTCTTTCTAAAGGGTTCCTCAATAAAATATGGACTCTACGATCATTAGCCTCACGACACACCCCTCACAGATCTCTGCTCGGTGCTCATCCTCACTCCAATACCATTAGTCCTAAAGCCTTTCCTATGTTCATCATCTTCAAAGCTTCTTTTACTTGCGACATTTTAATCCAACGAATGTTTCTATGACCTCCGACCTATACCTACGGTTCCTTCTTTTGCTATGTTCCCATTGTGTTAGACATTTAATAAATTTTGAAAAAAAACTCTCCATCTTTGGTTGACCTCTTTATCACTCTATGCATTTAATATGGTTTAAATCCCTATTATTTTTCTTTATCATTTTTACTTATTTGATGATTTTTTTTTCAACATTTTCTATACAATATAGATTATAATATGCCTTAAGTTTAGTCTTACTATCTATTAGTCTGACTATCTATTTAATTTTTTTTTATAAAAAGCACTAAACAAACGGACGATTGAGATGGTTATACTCATATTTCAATAAATGGGGTGCAACCCTATGGAAATTGCGTCCTTTTTTAAAAGGATGGGTTAGATGGTGATTGAAGGAAATGAATGACAACATAGATTCTAATGATGATACTGGGCATAGTTACTTTTCTCTCCATCACCATCCAATTACTTAGTTTTTTTTTTTTGGGTGAGTAAGAAGGATGGGTTAAATGGTGATTGAGGGAAATATATGACAACATAAAATCTAATGATCATAGTGGGCATAGTTACTTTTCTCTCCATCACCATCTAATTTTTTAGTTTTTTTTTGGGTGAGTCAAAAGGATGGTTAGATGGCGATTGAGGGAAATATATAACAACATTGAATGTAATGGTGATATTGGGCATACTGGGGGAGCATTGCCAATCGTCACGTGATGGCCAATTAAGCCCAAACTCTTTTTTGACTTAGTTGGATAATGATAAAATGCACATCCCTAATATCTCTCCATCACCATCTAATTACATAGTGAGTAAATGAAATGGTCGTTGTTGTTATCATGATCACATAGATAAAAATTGCTGTGGTGTGGGACTTACCTCCTCTATCACTGTGTATCCCACTGATGGGATGGTGATAACCTGGGTGTTGGGGTTACAACGACCATACTAAATACTCGACGTTCTTCTCTTTTACTCACTGCTGAACTTTTTCAACGGTCAGCAACTTTAAATTTTGAAATCTGCGTGGATCCCGCTCCGTCCAAAAATTTAGAAAGACTGCCCCTATAATCTTTGTAATTCACCTTTCTCTACCCCCTACCAAAGAAGGGTATTTGTGCAATTTAAGCAAAGAACACAGCCCATTAGTTTGAAACACCCAGTTTAAATAAATGAGACCTCCACCCCGCAGAATCCTCTTTCAAATTCGGACACAGGAAGGGAGAGAGGGAGAAGGATTTTTCAGATAGAGAGAGGAGTTTTAGAGAGAGAGAGAGGGGTTTTAGAGAGAGAGAGAGAGAGGGGGATTTCTAGAGAGAGAGATGGCAGCGACCAACATAGGGATGATGGATGCGGCTTACTTTGTGGGCAGAACAGAGATCCTTGCCTGGATTAACTCTACTCTGCAACTCAATCTCTCAAAAGTAGAAGAGGTAAAATACTTACTCTCTAACCCTAGTTTCTTCTTCTGGTTTATGAAAATGTTTTCAATAATTCTTTACGCAGATGTGGATGCATTTGCAGAAAGCTTCCTTGATGGTTCATGACCTCAAATTGCTTTGTTTCTCTCTCTAAAGTTCCGTCTTTCTCCCTCTATGTTTGCAGGCTGCATCTGGGGCAGTGCAATGCCAGCTTATGGATGCCGTCCATCCTGGCATGGTTCCAATGCATAAGGTTAATTTCGATGCCAAGACTGAGTACGAGATGATCCAGAACTACAAAGTTCTGCAGGATGTATTCAACAAACTAAAGATAACCAAGGTTTCTCATCTCCTAAGCCCACCTTGCTTTAATTAGTTTTGGGTATCTGTTTTCTTTTATGGATTTTGATCTTGCTTGGATTCTTTGATTCGTTTCTTGAATGATGAGACTGGTTGGTCTTTTCGTGTAAAGCACATAGAGGTGAACAAACTTGTGAAAGGGCGGCCTCTTGATAATCTGGAGTTCATGCAGTGGATGAAGCACTACTGTGATTCAGTCAATGGGGCATTCCTAAATAAGTAACTGCACTTCTCTCTTCTCAATCTAATTATAAGGAAATAAAATCAGGGTTACAATTTTTATTTTATTTTTAACCGTAGGTTCTTTGTATTGTTTTTGTTGCATCGGTTTATTCCCATGGTAATAATTGATGATAACATCATGAAAGATTTTGAATGCTTCTGTTTATCTGGCTTTTTTTGATATTGGGGCATTTGTGTTTCTCTGAGGATTTAAGCATTTCTTCAATGATTTTGCCTTGCATCCATCTAGCACTTTCACTTCTCAATCTGTTGTCTCCTGATTTATTCTGGCTTTATTTTGTTCACGAGGTACCTTTCACATTTCTCTCATAATTTCTTTTGTAAAGATTGATGAAAGTCTCCCGCACGTCTCTAAATTGTTAAATTGCACCACTGCTTAATTAAAGTGATGAAATGACCAGCTACCCTATTTGGAGCTCATTGTAGTAAGCTCAGGAATATAATTTGAAGTTGTAAGTTTTGAGTTGTATCTTTGTATCGCTTACATCTATGGAGTTCTCCTTCTTTACTCCTTTTATTAAGGTGGAGGCCCAAAACTCATCCTATCTTTCATCTTGTTGAATGTCCCTTTTTTTTGGTTTCTGGAATTTGGTGGTGCTTGGTGAACAATCCCTTTGTATCTGTTAGTTTAGAACCTAAATCAATGCCAACTCGAACTCCTCTCTCTTGCTTTTATCTTTAATGAAAGTTTCTATTATGAATTCATCCCTTTGTCTTGTTGCATACAGGCGATTTTTATGTCATACCATCATAAGTTTCTTGTTCGACTTATGAGTCAACTATTGCAAAACATATATTGTGCCTTCTTTTTGATTGAAATGACAAATCTATTCGATTCTTGTATATTTGGTGTATAACAAAAAAATAATTCAACCACTCTTGCCTCTTGTATGTTACTTAGCATATATTTTTCTTGCTGTTTTGTTTTATTGTGTATTCCCATGGCTCTCTCTCTCTCTCTCTTGTGGTTCTTCAGTTGCTGTAAATTTGCCATTGATAATCCACCTTAGTTGTATCATATCAAGCTTACCTCCTAGATGTCCTGATATTGTTTATGAGTAGCATGCATGCTTAGATTTGAAAGTCATGTTTGCATTTCACTGATAAACTCATTGGGTGCTCTAGTTTCCATGAGATGCATTGCAGGAAAAACAAAGGGTACATTTGCATGGTGGCCGTTGGGGTGGCATTTTTAGGTGACAGAGCAGTTGTGGTTCATAATGCTGTTATCATCTTGATCAAAATGTGTGTAATAAACTTGGGGTTAATAAAATGCAAGGCAGTTTGAATGTTAGAGCAAAGTGCAGAACCTTGAACTTGGCCGCCAAGGTCATATTTCCAAAACCGTGTCACTTGCTGTGTTCAATGTTCTAATGTTCTTCCTCCTTGATTTCTCCTGTACTATTTCCTTTAATCAATAAAAGTTGGTAACATTGTCAAAAAAAAGTTTACAACAAAAAATAATTGTTTGTAATGAGATTTTTACCTCTTTACATATACCGCAATCTTACCACATCAGGAAACACCTAACAGTCGAAACATATATGGCAATCTTACCACATCAGGAAACACCTAACAGTCAAAACAATATAGTAAATCATATTAAAGCAAAATCTCGTTTACAGACCCAGTTTTTCATTCATAAAGCTCACCTACCAGATAATTCTAGTTGGCTCAGCTTAGTTTTTCAACTTGTTATGCTCAATGGTTTGTACATATAAAATGTCAAGTCGATGATGTAATCTTTGAATGTAGAATACCAATGTCTTTGGTTGGTTCGTGAATGTCAGTCCTTAAAATTGTATGTGTCGTAGGTTGCATCTAACATACCAGAATTACAATTTGAAAAACTGTTCAAGATATTTGAGCGATTGTTTCAACTTCCAGTTACAATGCTGTAGAGCGAAGAGAGGCTTGCAAAGGTGGTAAAGAAGCCAACAAGAGAAGTGCAACCACACAAACATCAGCCAAGATCTCTGTCTCTGTACCCAAAAACAGATCCTCTAGCTGTGTTCGAAAGAATGAGGCACAACCCCCAAATGTTGCTGTCCTCAAGCCTACAAGGCCTGCATCTAGTGGTGGAAGGGATGTACCTGTTGCTGCTACACCTACACAGCGCCAAGCATTTGATGAGCAGGTTACTTTTTAGTTTCCCTAAAAGACTGAGTTTTTTCATGTTTTCCATTTTTTGTTGTATTTTCAATGAAAATTAATACATTTGTTTTCTCGAGATTTGTTCAGATTACAGAGCTTAAGCTTTCGGTGGATAGTATGGAGAAGGAGAGGGACTTTTACTTTGCCAAATTGAGAGAGATAGAAATCTTGTGTCAGTATCCGGAGGTAGAACACTTACCGGTAAGCATTATAATTTTTATTCATGATAGAATTAGAAACCACTTCTAGGATTTGTGTGTTTTGCCACACTATTTTGTTTATTTTGCCATATGATTACTGTCTTGTTTATCACATCACAGATAGTCAGTGCTATACAGAGGATATTGTATGCTACAGACGATAACCCTTCTGTGGCAGTAGAAGCCCAAGCCATGGTAAGCCAGCACCAGTCCTCTTTAAGTCCCTTAACTGAGATAGAAGAGGACAAACCCAAGCTGGAGAATCCAAAAAGAAAGTCAATTGTGACCTTTGAAGTTGATGCAGCTGCCATTTCTGTGTTGTCTCCAAGGCAAAGGGTTTCAGACATTTCAGATGTGCATCAATGCGGCTCCCCACTCACAACATACTAATATGCCTTGATTCTTATTGTGGATCAAGGGGTGCACTACCTTTCCTTTCAATTATCATTCGTGATATGATCTTTGTGACCTCAAATCCTAATTTCTCTTCTGTTTGATTATTGTCTTACAACAATGTAATTGTAGTTTTCTTTGGATATTAACTGTAATTGTAGTTTGATAATATCATTTGTTAGTTTCTTATCCATCTTCATACATCTCTTTATGATGATGAATTCGAAACAAATGTTCAAAATTGATACAGTACATGGGATTGTACAACCCGAAGTATGTTAAATTGATATCATTTGGTGTTTCATTTTGGTACAGATTTGGTTTGCTGGAATATGGTTGCCTAGAGATCATTTTCCAAGGAAATTGATGGTTTCCTGTGTTTGTTCGTTTTAAAACAATAAAAAATTCTTCTCCCCATGAGAAATTAGTTTTCACGGGTTTCGCATCTTGTCCACATTTCTCTCTCCACGAGTTCCCTTTGTTTCTCATTTTGAACTGTAAATTCAAGGTTGTAAACCAAGGTTGTGAATCTAAAGCCATTGCTCACCCTTGAAAAGGTGGATCTTAGGCTTTTTAAGGGGCGTGGCATAGGATAAGTATTGAACAGGCAACTAACGGTTGACCCCATCTCTTTTTGTCATTGAGATGCCTTGCTGACTCACTGCCCAATTTGCCGCAACCCATTATGAAGTAAAACTCACAATCCTCTCTCATCCTTCGTGGCATTCAGAAACACTGGCTGGCTTCTCTCTCGTATGTACTCTGAAAAATGTGGTTTAAGGAAGATGAGGCCTCAAATGGATGAAGAACCGGGCCTAGACCAATGAGACCAACCTTGAAGCTGTGCTCCTCAACAAAGACACCATTTAAAAGGAGCTCTTCAGGTTGTTCAAGTTCTACTCTCTAATGGGCAAAGGTATCAGGGTCTTGCTGTACTAGTTCTTCTATTCATTATAAGATAACAAACCATCTTCAAAGAATTTCTGGGACTGGATACGATGTACTCTTTCACGCGGGGACACACTACAATCTCCATCATCCAACCAATTTGGATGGCGGGGATTTTATGTTGCGGAGATTTTGTGGGTAGCCTGCATAAAAACTGTCCCCTATAAAAACCATAAACCTCATATGATCTATGGATTGTATAGGCTATAGTAGAAGCATTCATTTATAGGCCAATCATCATTATCATTAGAGCTTTTTTTCCAATAATTTAGAGGTCGGCTATTCTTTTACAGGCCAATGATTATTTAAAATGAGGTATGGTTCTTTCTTTATAGACCTTGCTACCACAGTTATTCCCAATTGTTTTGATCAATTTCAAATGATTAAGCAATCCAATGAGCAATTAGCCATTGCATAGTCTTGATAGGTAAAGATTTTGCAGTATGTGAATTTCAAAAGTGGAGCTAGAAACTTGAAACAAATTCTTCATGTAGGGTGTTTGAGAAAGGTATGAGCTTGGCTTTTTCCATTGAATTGCCAGGCCTTTCAATCACAAGAAAACTAAAGACGGATTATTGGAGACTGTTGCGCATTTACTAGTCTTACGCTACATGCATTCTGTCTTTTGTAAAAGTATTTAATTTGAAGTATGCATAGATAGAAGATGTTGATTGAGATTTGTTAGAAGCTCTATCACTTGCAATTAGTATTTCAAAAATTGGATTGGCCAGGCGAACCAGCCTCTGGAAATCTGTTATGAACTGGTGAACCGGCGATCTGAATTGGCAAATCGACTAATTCCCCAAAGAGAATCAGTCCCCAAAAATATTTAATAATAATAATTTGAAAAAAGTTAAATGCTAAAGATAGTTAGAGTGTAGGCTAACACGCAAAATATTTTCCTTTATTTTTTTATTTTATTTTTTTAGTAAAAGCCTGAGATATAAGGGTGACGTTTGTATAAGGTGTCAACCTAATATTATTGAAGTAAAGTGTGCCTCAATACTATGCCGAAAGTGCGGTTTCGGTGCTACAAAGCTCGCAATGATATGAAAATCTATTATTGCTCCCAATTATGAAATTTAAAAGTCCAGAAATTGTGACAATTAAGCAGATCTATAAACATTTGAAAATCTTGAAAAATAGATGGTCCATATAAGATGAACTATGTATAGGACTATAAATCTCTTTTTTTTCATGTTTATGAATCTCAATAGCAAGATGGTTGATTAGATAATTTTCCAGCGTAAGAACAACCGTCACTAATGGGGCTTTTAGGTGCACCTTACCTGTACAGTATAAGGTTAAGACCTTATATAAACTTTTCCCGAGATATAATAGTTTAACTTATAGATACTTTGTATTCTTTAAAAAAGGTTTGCCTACATAGAATAAAGGATTAAAAAATAGTTTATTTTGGATTTTTTTTTTTAAAGCAAATGAGGTTTGAAAAGTGAACGTGGGGAACCCGAAGTCAAGGGGGACGAGGGACATCATAATGTTGTTCACATGCCTTAGCCTAGCAGGGACCGCAACAACTAATGTAGCAGGGATTAAAGTCCAGTGAAGAGAACTACAAAAAAAATTATCATAAGAAGAGATATCATGAGCAATGTTAAATTTTTCAAAACTTGCAAACCTTTGACAAATCTAAGCCTTATGGTAACCTCATTCATGGAAGAGGGATAGATTGTCTTCACATTGTAAGAAAGAATGACATATACATCCACGTGCATGATATGACGCATTTGTGAGAACATATATGATATAAGGCATTGTTGAAATCTATCCTCTAAAATTTGGAAAAAACAATTAAAAGAAAGAGAACAAAGAAATGAAATGAAATAAAAATGCTAAAAAAAAAAGAGAGAAAAAATGAAAACGCAAAGCTGATTGCTAAATGTCAAACATCATGATACCCATGGTGCTCGGCAACGTAAATGTTCATATGCTGTTACCATCTTCATTGCCCTTCTTCTCTCATCTACTGTTTGCTGGTTCTCGTTTTTCATCTGTTGTTATCATCGTTTAGGAGAAAGGAGGGCATCTTTATTCGATGGTAGGGAATAAAAGTGATCCAAGAATTTCAATCTTTGACAACAACTCAAGTTTTGAAAAAATAAAGTGGTCCAAGAATTTTAACCTCGGATATCAACTTAAGTTTTGAAAAAAAAAACGTGATCTAAGAATTTCAACCTCAGACCGCAACTTAAGTTTTGAAAAAAAAAAAAAAGTGATTCGAGAATTTCAACCTCGAACCGCAGCTTAAGTTTTGGCAAAAAAGCAAAAAAACCTCGGACCGTAACTTAAGTTTTGGAAAAAAAAAAAAAAATCAGTTTGAGAATTTCAACCTCTGACTGCAACTTAAGTTTTGAAAAAATAAAGCGGTCCACGAATTTCAACCTGGAACAGGGGCAAACTTGAAAAAAAATCGTACATTGACCGACTTTGCTGGCAATTGTTGGCTAAAAAGGGAGCATCCTATATTTTCCATACTTTTTTAAGGCCCATACATAATTGACTCTAAAAACAATGAATTTCAAGAGAATGGCCAGGGGCCTTAGTGGTAGTATTGTTGAGCTACATAGTGAGGTCTCTGATTCCCATTCTCACAAAAGAGTAGGGGCCCAAATCGGTATTGTTGAGCTACATAGTGAGGTCTCTGATTCCCATTCTCACAAAAGAGTAGGGGCCCAAATCGGCATTGACATATCACCTTATTTATTTACTTACCCAAAAAAAACAATAAATTCAAGTCCGGGAAATAGTGCATCTTGTAATGCATATCTGAGCCATCGATTTTTAATTTTCAAGCTTTTATAGATCTGCTCAATCTACACAATTTTTGAAGCTTTAAATTTTACAATTAGAGGTGAAAATAAATTTTCACACCATCAAAATGATTTTTGCTACAAGAAAAACATCTTTTGACACTATTTAGAGGAATTACTTTAATTGTTTAGGGCCTCAGCATTATAAAAACCACACCTTTTTTATTTGGAAGATTATTATTTTTTTTTGGAAGATTTTTTTAAAAGTAAGGCTACGGGTCACTCTAATCACCTTTTCTAAGCTTAGTTGCGAGGTCTGGATTTATCTTTTCATTTGTTGCAGCTGTTGTTCTCCTTTTTCAATAAAGATTTGAAGGTGAAAGTCGAATGGTATTTGTTTTGAGGATCGTTAGTGTTGAATTTTTGAAGAGAAGAGATGAAGGTGTTGAACTTTTGAGGGGAAGAGATGAACCTGCCAAAGTCCCGGGTATTGAAGGCAATGTCGTAAAGACTGTAAATCACAGAAATCAAGTTTTATCAGAACAATTTAGAGCCCTGTATTTTCCTTATGTGCCTCTTCGTAGCCATGAACCCTAGTTATAGAGGGATGGGAGGAGGCCGTTCTCCAATGTTTTTCTTCCTGGAATCTTTGAGAACGTAGGCTTGTTTTCTTGAGAGATGGATAATTATCTACTACCCGTTGGATAAAAACATATTCTCTCTCTAAGAAAAACTTTTAGTGATAAACATTAAAATGTACTAATTAAAATAAATATTAAGAGAGAAAAATATGGCACATGTGAGGTCCCATGGCTACCTCCACGTACCAACATCTCCTACTTTATCATGATGATCAAATACATTGAAATATCATAAGGTCTATACCACTTAGTGGGTTTGATATATATGTTGGGTTTATGTGGCCTTTCAAGGCCTTATAAGTGTGTAATAAAAAATATTTATTGTAGTGGAACATAAACTCAGTGGGAGTGTGGTTCTTCGAAGACCATACTAAACAAATGATATTTGCCGATACCAGACTGTGCTTGATGATCTAGGCCAGTCGGTTGGAAAACCCAAGGTACCTGGGCATAAAAAATAAATCGAGAAGGATTTTTGAGTTAACCCTTGATGAGGTCGGAGCTTATGCCTAGATGAATGAGCTGAGGGACTGCGTGACCCTTGTGTGTGATGGTAGGCCTACAGAGACGGAAGCCAAAACCTCATCAATGTTCCATCACACAGCATGCATATAGATAGATTGTTCGGGAAAGCTAGATATGCACTTTTGGGTGAAGCATATGCATGTGAGAGAGATACCCCTATGCGCCATAGAGCTGTGGTCGCATCAGGTCGTGGAGACCTTGACTTGTTTTTAGGGGAGGACCTGTAATCCACAGACTGGGATTGCGACTCCTTGGCTCATCGACCAGACTTTGGTGACCCTCTAATGAGCCTCTGCTTGGACTGTGGGTCATGGGAAACACTGGGTCGGTTCGATAAAGCAAGTGTGGTCTGTAGTCAGTTGAAAGTGGAGTACCCTATGATCTTTAATTGAATTCCTGAACCATATGGATCCACTTCCCATCATAT